TGCTCTGTTTGCAGAGGTTTCCATCACAGTTCAAGCTTTTATTTTAGTTCTGGATCCCACAAGATGAAGTGTAACAGTGTGCTACTGTATGTCCGTATATTAGGAGAGTGTATAGCCTCAGTGGTGCAGAATCTCACTGCCTGTCTACACACTACACACAGTCATTGTTCGTGCGTAAAGCTGGAGACCTCGAATATTATGTAGTTCAGGCCTGCAGGCACTTAGGATTATATGTTAAAGGTGTGAATACAGTTAAATATAGATCAGCGTACTTAAATGATGATTCCACTGCTTCCCTGTAGAAGCAAAAGCAGACCACGGCTGTCCTCCTGCGCACGGACTCTCCCTCCGCTCCATGCTGTATGTTATTAACCAAAATGTTCGAGTTACTTTTGTACCACTCCTCTAAAGTAATGCAGTTGGAAACACGCCTTTATAACAACTCTCTTCTTTTGCAATTTAACAAAAATTAACTCCAGTTTTCAGCGTCCATTACAGTGAAAACATATGTAAACACTATGGACATTCGGAGTCAGTTCAGTTTTATTTTTACTTCAGGGTTTCCATATTTTATTTAACTGCATATTTTATGAATTCAAAACTCTGGACAAAGAGGGGGTTATGTTTGGCCGAGGAAGTGATAAATGATAAATACTCCTGGACACAGTGGAGCCAAAATTAAGAAAGAAATACTGTGGTACAAACCTGAAATGTGTCGATTACAGCGAAATTAAAGATAAAATAAGGTATTGTGATTTTTCTGTGCTTATTTTTTTGTAAGGAGACAGGATCCTGAGGGTAGGGTGTGATACTCTCTCCAACCAGGATATTTTAATGTATGCTTCTACTATAGGCGGTTTATACTCTTTGTTTTATTTAAATTATTTGCGGTTTCACAGTCTTTGAAAACAGCACCAAATAACGAAGCAGCCAAATATTAACAGATGAACAAAGATAGTCTGCTAGTGGAGGGACACAAACCGCTACAGATACAGTAAAACGCCAAAGAGCACCAATAAACCGGACCCAAACACATCTGAGCAGAAAGACGAGGGAAAAATGACCGAGTGCTCAATTTATTGGTACTGTTCAATGAAACCACACACACACGTTGTTATTGTGGAGAGATAATGACGCACTGCCATTTTAGTTGGAAAAACTGGTGAGAGCTTTTTATTTGAAGCTCTACATTCTCAGTTTGGAGTAAATGAAATGTCACGCAGAGTAATAAAGCTGTGCGTCACTTTAAAAAAAGAAAAAGTAAATTCGATCCTCACAGAGATGTGGTCATACCCAGAACTGGAGAAAAGGAAACCGAAGAACAAGAATGGACAGTTTACTTTATTACCCTCTTGGTGCCAAAGATAAAGTTTTCTACATGCAATTCTGTCTTTTACTGCCTTGAATTTACACATCTGGGAAAAGACGACGATTGAAACCTCACCTATATTGTGGCTGTAATCACTGGCCAACATTATCACACAGTGAAAGCATAAATTATACCTGCGAGTTTGGACCTCGACGCAAATCTAAACACACTTGGTTCAGTTTTAATTTCCATTCACCCTAAAATTACGACAGAACACGAAATTAACTGCAAGGCTCGTTGGAAAAAAGGCACATTAAGAGAAAAGTGTTGTGTTAAAAGAACAGTACATAAATCAGGCTCCAGGGCTTTTTCCACATGACACTGGTGTGTTAATAGTCTGTTCAAAATTATCTCGACACAGACGATACCCATCTTTTTTTTCTAAAGCCATTAGCCTATAGTCCATTTCAGTCATTAAAACTGTTTTCTGGTGTCTGTAGCGTAAAACTGTTCCAGTGAGACTTAAGCGTTTCTTTATCTTCAGGCATGAGCAATAAATTAACTTGCGTATTTGTGTCGCCTTTGTATCAGAAAATCCTTTTTAAAATGCTGTGACTCGTTGTCTTTCTGCTCTGAACAGACGCCAAAGGCACCATCCGCGAGATCGTGCTGCCCAAAGGCCTCGACCTGGATCGGCCCAAGCGCACGCGGACCAGCTTCACGGCCGAGCAGCTGTACCGGCTCCCGCCTCCGCTTCCGCGGGGGCACTGCCG